GCATTTTTGCAGGAAGATGGGTGGGAGAAGGAGTATTCTAGGTAGCTGTGGGAGTCGGTGGGCTTGAAATGAATATCGGTTTCTAGGTGGTTGCCCGATATGGAGACAGAGAGGTCCAGGAAGGGGAGAGAGGTGTTAGAGATGGTCCAGGTAAACTTAAGGTTGGGGTGGAAGGTGTTAGTGAAGTGGATGAACTGTTCGAGCTCCTTGTGGGAGCACGAGGTGGCGCCAATACAGTCATCAATGTAACGGAGGAAGAGGTGGGGTTTAGGGCCGGTGTAGGTACGGAATAGGGATCGTTCCACGTAACCTACAAAGAGGCAGGTGTAGCTCGGATTCTCCAGCATCTGCAGTTCCTACTATCTCTATACTATCTAATGACTACTTATCGATCAAAATGTGTATCATCATGTCCTGGTATATTATGAACTTTCAGACAATTGTTTTTAAAAATTGCATGCACAGACTATTAAAATAGCCACTTCATATCATGTGATCTTCAATATTTGAGCTTCAATCGATCCTAAGTATCAGTTAAATGCCCAATTATACACAGACGTTCACAGTCATCTGGCAAATTAATGCATCCCTTTGTTTGAGGATGGAAGAGCACAGAAAAGAACGTATCATTTCCAGCTGGCTTATCTCTCCGTATTATCGTGGAAAAAAAATCAGCTTTGAGACTCAGTTGGTATGAGATGGATGTGAATAGACCCAATCAACCTTCTATTGTATTACAAAGACGGAAATTACTGGCAGAACTCAGGTCTGGCTGCATCTGTGGGAAGAAAGCAGAGTTTATATTTCAAGTTGAGTGACTCTTCATCAGAGTGAGTTCTGATGAGGAGTCACTGGATTCAAAACATTAACTCTGCTTTCTTCGCAGAGATGCTGCCAGACCTGCTGAGTTTCGCCAGCAATTTCTGTTTTTGTTCCAGATCTCCAGCATCTAAAGTTCTTTCTGTTTTTCCGCTGTATTACAATGGTTTCCGTAATCTCAACCAGACAGGATCAATCTCTGGGCGTTAAAAAACAGCATATCATGATGGAACCAAAACCGACACACCACTCCTTTGGAAAAAGGATTTTGAACTTTGAAAATGATTTGATGAGGGAACCATTTTGTTGTCTGCTGCCAGAAAAGAGATTTTTTTGTGGGATGTGAGTGTCATTTGCTAGGCGAGCATTTATTGCCCGCCCTTGCTTTGGAAAAGGGGCGGCGATGGCCTTGTGGTATTATCACTGGACTGTTAATCCAGAGACCCAGATAATGTTCTAGGCACCCGGGTTCGAATCCCACCTCGGCAGATAATGGAATTTGAATTAGAAATACATCTGGAATTAATGATGACCATGAATCCATGAGTGATTGTCAGGAAAAACCCATCTGGTTCACTAATGTTCTTTAGGGAAGGAAACTGCCATCCGTACCTGGTCAAGGCCTACATGTGACTCCAGACCCACAGCAATGTGGTTGATTCTTAACTACCCTCTGGTCAATTAGGGATGGGCAATCCCATGAATGAATGTTAATAAAAATGAGATGGAAGCTGCCTTCTTGAGCAAATGTACTTCTTGGGGATTTAGGGACTCCCACAATGCTGTTTGAAAGGGAGTTCTAGGAATTTGGCCCAGTAACATTGAAGGAATAGTGACATGATTTCAAATCAAGATGGAGTATGGTCTGGCGGTGAACAAAAAGCTATTGAATTAGTGTCAAGCCATCAAGTAAGCACATTAATTCACTGCAGAGCTTGTAAGTTAAACATCGTAACAGATTAAAGGATTTTCCCAGTTCAGCTGAGAATCAACCTGCTAGAAGTTCAACAATAAGAAGTTTAAGCCTGCTGAGAATTCTTTGTTCAAAAAACTCTCACTTCAATTGTAAAGTACAAATTTTATCTAAGAAACTGCTATGAAAGAGATTGAGAATTATACGGTGTAACAGTATATTGTCTTCACCTGTACCTAATCTTTTGAGAAAGTGTTATTGTTTGTGAGGTGAATGAATGAATGAGTGAAACATCTCAGGGTGAGTGAGAATAAATAACTTTATTTTTAAACTCATTAGAAGCTTGCTTCTCATAGTGAATGTTTTGGTTTATTGGATGATTAGATATATTGGTGATAGGTGTTTCAAATTTAAAAGTAGAATTCTTCTGCTCCTTGTGGGCAGTGTTTGTTGTTTGATAATTTCATAATTGGATGATTTAATAAATTGGTGCTTTTTTAAAAACAAAAATAAATGGGGTTCTTCCCTGATGGGTGTTGACTTCTGGACATGGAAACGAATTGGTGTTTGTGTTAAACTGTAGAATTACAATAAAACCCTTGTAAATCTCAAAGTCTTTTGCTGCTGAATTCAACATATACATATTAGTCATTTGAACACCCCCTAATACTAAATTCCCCCAAATAACAAAATATCTTCTCAATATCTAACCTGTAAATTGACCTCAAAATATAAAGAAGGGTCACTGGACTCGCAACGCTAACTTTAATTTTTCTCCAAAGAGGCTGCCAGACCCACTGGGTTTTTCCAGCAGTTTCTGTTTTGTTTCTAGATTTTCAGCATCCGCGGTTCTTTGCTTTATTTTAATGCTTCCCTCAGAATCTTTTATGTCCGATTAAGAAACACTCTCATTCTTTTAAACTCCAATGAATAAAAGTGCACTGCTGTCTCTAATTTGCACACGGGTACACACACACACACATTCTAATTCTTCTGATCTTTCCCTTGCTTAATGGTGACAGTTTTAACAACAGAGGCCTTAAAAGCACTTCAAAGAGAAATGAAATAAGGAGGTCACTTGCATCAAGAAGTTTCCTCAATCCCAGCTTTAGAAGAGTTTTAGCAACGAATTTAACACATTTTGTCAGAGCCATGTATCTGACTGGAACATTATTGACAGAAGGACACAAATGATAAAATCTAAAGGCTGCAGGAAGACCCATAGATCTGTTCTTTTTAAGATGGCTAATATTGTATCCTGGGTTTCTAATCTTGAAAGGGGACTTCAGGTAAAATGGATATACAAGGCAACAGATGGGCAAAGGTGATGCTGACGTTTTAGTGTATTGACAGAACTGTAGCTGAAACATAGTAATATAGGTAGACAAACAGGAGACTTGAAGAACACAGCAAGCCAGGCAGTATCTGGAGGAAAGGAGAAGTCAACGTTTTGGGTATTACACTTCTCCGGGTAGGGGGAGCTGCAGGAAAAGAGGGGGCGGAGGGGGGCAGCGGAATGGTACTGATAGGTGGACACTGGTAGTAGGTACAATCTGGTTGGTTGATGGGAGGGATGAATCTGGTTGGTGGCTGGAAGGGAGGGTCATTAGGTGGAATGGAAGGGAGGAGGTGGGGCTGGAATGGGAGGCAGGGGATGGGCGGGAAGGTTATTTGAAATTAGACAACTCAATGTTGAGTCCTCCTGGCTGTAGGGTGCCCAGGTGGAAGATAAGGTGTTGTTCCACAAAATTGCATTGAGTTGCTGCGACACTGGGGGAGGCCAAGGACGGACATGTCAGAAGGGGAGTGGGGGAAGTGAGGGGGTGGAGTTGAAGTGGGCAGTGACCGGGAGGTTAGGTTGACCGTTACAGACCAAGCGGAGATGCTCGGCAAAATGGTCACCTAGTCTACATTTGGTCTCACAGACGTAGAGGAGACCACATCGGGAGCACCAGATGCAATAGACTAGTTTGGAGGAGATGCAGGTGAAGCTCTGTCTCACCTGGAAGGACTGTTTAATGCCCTGGATGGAGGTGAGGGAGGTGGTGTGTGGGCAGGTGTTGCATCTATTACGGTTACAGGGGAAGGCACAAGGCGGGTTGGAGTGGTTGGTGGGGAGTGTAGCGCGAACTAAGGAGTGGGAAAGGGAGAATAGTCCTTGTGGAAGGCAGAGAGGGGTGGGGAGTGATAGATGTTCCAGGTGGTGGGGTCTAACTGGAGTTGGCAGAAGTGTTTGAGGATGATACGTTGGATGCAGAGGTTGGTGGGGTGGAAAATAGATAGTAATATCGACCTGATAACTACTGAGAATTTCAACAAAAGTGTTATTTCCTAGCATGCCAATTGTAGAATATTTATCAATGATATCATAGTCTTCTCGGATAGTTATTGGTCAGTAAGAACTAAATCCAAGAAATATTAATAAATAGAATAAGGCCCTAAAATTATATGGCAATTTTCATTGAATTGTCACTAGCCCTGGTATAACGCATTAGAAAAGGATTGGGATCCAATCACATTGGCTTTTGTTGTTCTACGGATGCAAAGGCTACGATCCCTGCACGTTCCTGAGAGGTACACACTTTTTTTTTGAGGGAAATTGTACTTGACCTGGCTCCATTAGGATCTGGTGTGCCTCTGGAATCTGATACAGTAGACGTTAAGGTTTTCTGGCCTTCAGATAGGGGAATTGGCCTTCAGGTGAAGTGAGGTCCAGACCAAAGACATGTCCCTGATATCCAAAGATTTATCAGCAACAAAGTAATGGTCAACCTATAATATGGGGGATGAAGGGGAAGATCACTGGGCTTTATGCACTCAGACACTAAGCAAATTTGTAAAGCCGCTTTTAATAGGTATGAGGTGCTCAATTTGCCTCAACAATAAATCCAAATGTCTGTTTTAGAGAAGAGTCCTGAGTGACCGTAGAGGACCCTAATATTTTGATGGGTGGCCCAAGCATATATGTCAACAAAATCCACAAGGTCCAGAAGGCCATTGAAGCCTGTGGAGTTAACTGTGTACCAGTGAAAAGCCATTGTCTTTCAGAGACATGGAAGAGAAAGATAATTAGTGTTTAAGAAAAGTAGAGAAATAACCCTTGAGCAAGTAACTTGCCAGACAACTCTACTTTTGACAGATTTAGTCCAAAACAGAATATTATGAATCATTACTTGAAATGTTTTATTTTTAACTCTACAGATGAACAAAACAAAAAATTTCTTTAATTCAGGACAATCTGATTCACAATTTTCTCTCAATTTCCCAGCTCCCTGCGGAGGAAACCTGACTGGGCCCACAGGAATCATCCTTTCTCCCTTTTACCCTGAGCCGTATCCTCATGGCAAGGAATGTGACTGGAAAGTAACAGTGTCACCTGACTATGTTATTTCTCTGACATTCCTAAGGTAAGCTCTGCATGAAAATTAAGTTATTGAAGGGAGTTGCGCAGCTACATGAAAGGAACAGGATTACGGACAAACTATGGTGATGTGGGAATAAACACAACTGCTCTTTGCGAGAGTCAGTCAAACTGCAACAGGTTAAGTGGCATTGTTAGATATTTTCCCATTGATCTGCTTACATTATCTATGGAACATTACAATTTCAGTGTAATAAGCCTAGAGAATAAAATACTACAAAATTAAACATAACTCATTATATTTTTTCAGTTTATAATTGTCACTGAGCACATTCAAAACTTTGAAATACACAGCAATTCAGTGTGAAAAATACCTGACATAATTTGGGTCGAGAGTGGGGAAAATTTGTGTGTCCAGTCAATCTCCTTCTCAGCAGTATATACCATACTGCTGGGCATTGGGGCACAATTTGAATTGAATGATCTGTAGACTCAGGAAGGATATGTTTGAGGTCAAAGAGTTTGACATTTAAAACATCATTATAACATTCAGCAGCACGCTGGCTCAGTGGTTACACTGCTGTCTCACAGTGCCAAGGATCTGGGTTCAATTCCAGCCTCAGGCTGTGTAGAATTTATACATTCTCTCCATGTCTTCATGGTTTCCCTTCAGGTGCTCCAGTTTCCTCCCCCAGTCCAAAGATGTGCTGGTTAGGTGAATTGACCATGCTAAATTGCCTGTAGTGTGCAGGGATGTGCAAGCTAGGTGGATTAGCCATGGGAAATATGAGATTACAAAGATAGGATCGGGGGGGTGGATTTGGATGGGATGCTCTTCAGAGGGCTGATGTGGACTCAATGGGCCAAATGGCCTGCTTGCACACTGTAGGGATTCACTGATTCTAAAATGATCGTCTTGAACATGGCCCACTGCCTGACAGTGTGGAGGAAAAAAGCATGAACTCTTGAGGAAATAATTTCTGATGTCTGATGGATATGTGGGCTGTGCAACTGGGGAAGTGTGAAGATCAGAGAGCGGAAGTGACATCCAGATAAATCCCCAGCGCCCTTATTTGTGCAACTATAATTGTCATTTGCTTGTGCTTTGTGCCTTAAAAATAGAATCTTCCAGCCCTAAAGAAGCCCATTCAGCCCCGTGTTGGCTTTGCAGGAGCTATTTAATTCATTTTTCTATGTTAAGATCAAATGAAAAGGGTTTATGCATTAATAATTCCAAATGGAATGTTGGTGTGGACAAAATTGAGTTAATAATAGTTGAGAATTGTGTTCAGTCAGTTCTAAGGAGAAACGTTATCAGTTCCATGAACAGATAAATGTCACATGAAATCCCTATGTTGCCAACAGTGTTAAATCTAATGTGGTTCAACAAATATAAAAGAATAATATTCACTTGCACATGTTCAACGAATGCTCAGGCATACAAAACATCTTTAATCATTAAAGCTGTTTCATGCTGGTCTTGCAACAGGCTAATTAGGAATCGGGAGATTAGAAGCTGTGTGGCAGTTGGAGGGTGGCATTGTGACCTTTCCTCAACAGGGGTTCACATCCTGGGACTGATGAAGATGCCACGGACATTATCTCCCGCTGAAACTTTGCTAAAAGAACTGTGCTGTGTTAATTTGAGCAGTGTGACAAGATAGCAATTATTGCAGCCCCATGAGCTCTGAGCAGTATGGAATATATTAGACACTAATATCAATATTTTACCATTTTCTGTGCAAATCAATGGGAGATAAACAACAGGTCTTCAGCACATTTTGTTTTTCTCATTAATATGCTCCACATCCTGGAATACTTGGAGGACTGAAGCAGGATTTTGTATAAAACGAAATGCACAGCAAAAACAAAAAGCAGTGATCTTACCCAGAGAAGGTTTTGCTTATGAATTTGGAATCAATATATTTGTTTTTATTGTTGAATATAAGTATCACTGGCTAGGCTAGCATTTATTACCCATCCTGAATGCCCTGGGGAAGGTGAAGGTGAGCTGACGCCTTGAACTGCTATAGTCCAAGGGCTATAGGGACACCAATAGTTCTGTTAGGGAGAGAGTTCTTGAAAATCCGTTTTGCCATGTAAATATCAATGTCTTCTTAAAGTACAGCTTCTGTAATTATTTATTATGTGGAGGTCTTGTGGCACAGTCGGTAGCATTTATGCTTCTGAGCCGGATGTTCTGGATTCAAGTCCCACTCCAGCATGTGACGGCCACTGAAGCTATGTTCACCATGTCCTCAAACAGGATGATCATCTACAAATCCCTCCAAAATACCTGTGGCAGGCAAGAAGTACTAGAGGGTTTCCTGGTCAGCCATGCTTGATGTGGACTGGCAGCTCTCAAACTGTAGCTTCAGGTAAAAGTCTGGTGACCTGTTGCAGGAACACAAAAAAGCCACAGAACAGACATAAGTACATGTTGTGTCTGCCTCATGCAGCAGGATGTGAATGAAGAAAGATGATGCTATATATTACCCACAATATTGGCATCATGACTGTTACTGAAAATGATTGTGTTTGACACATGTAATTTTCCCACAACAGAATTCTCTCATAACCACTCCTTGGTGACAATTGACAGGTAAACAAAATTCTGCAGTTTTTCTTTTTTACAACAGTACTTGAAAGGTTCAGTTAGCTTTTCACATGATAAAATCCCGACAATGTTGAAGGTGGCCATTCGGCCCATCGAGTGTACATTGATCTTCCAAAGAGCATCCTATCCAGACCCATCCTCCTACCCTGTCCCTGTAACCCTGCATTTCCCATAGCTAACCCACCTAGCCTGCACATACCTGGACACCATGGGCAATTTAGCATGGCCAATCCACTTAATCTGTGCATCTTCGGACTGTGGGAGGAAACCGGACCAAACCCACGCAACAACGGAGAGAATGTGTAAACTCCACACCGGCAGTCACTGGAAAATGGATCTTTGTTTCTGTGAGGCAGCAATACTCACCACTCAGCCACCGTGACGCCCCGACATCCCTGTCACTAAAGATAGAGGTCCTGGTAGCTTTTTATGACTCTCTGCCTTACTGCCCTTTCGTGTCGCTTCTTCTCTTCTATCCTCCTCTATTTCCCTGTTTTTCTCTCGTCAGCGTATTTGTTTCATTTTCTCTGTGAGGTAGCTCAGGGGTTTTGCTGTGCTACTTTTACCCAGAGAATGTCAAAAATGCATCATCCCCCCGCCCCCATTGCCTCATTTCTCACTTGGGAAATTTCACAGACGTTAGCAGTGAACATCAATTGCGCAGGACCGGTGTCACAATGTGGCATGCAGGAGTATGGATCTTTGTGGGATTAGACCATTGATTTTTGCTCTCACAGTTAATGTATTCTTCAGGAAGGATGTATTAGACATCTAATTCTCTTTACTCCTCCACTTCAAGAGACACCTTTAGTTACAACAGCGATGATAGAGGCCTGAGATTTATTGCTTTGGAATGAAAGATAGAGTGAGGGAAGGACTGAGACTATAAACAGGGTGAGGAATTATTTTGAAAAATAAGAAAAATGTTTGACCCAACAAAATCGAATTCCTTATACAACAGTAAAGTGGAGCATTAAGTAAGACAAATGGTAACAGGAGAAAAACTTTTCTCATATCATAGTATTGAAACAAAGTCCCTACATTATTCTGTCACAAAGGAAAAATTATCTGTGCTCATGGGCCATGAAGCAGACTTGAAAGTACTTTACTTGAATTACTTTGGAAAGTGATATTGAATTGTGTTCCTCTTCTGTGCTTTCAGCTTCAGTGTGGAGCCAGGCTATGATTTCCTTCATATCTATGATGGACCAGATTCTCTCAGTTCTCTGATTGGCAGCTTTCAGGGCTCACAGGTGCCTGACAAAATCGAGAGCAGCAGCAACAACCTTTTTCTGGCCTTTCGTAGTGACGCCTCGGTCAGCATGATGGGATTTGCTCTTCAGTATACCGGTAACGCATCGTCATCCAAGCAGATCATTCTGTAGACTTTAATTAACAAGAAAATGCTGCTCACCAAAGCCTCAGGGGCACAACTTTCACATGTAGTTCTGATGTGTCCAATCATGCATGTATCCTTCTTTTAAACAAAAAGCAAAAAGTAACTGAGATGATTTTTAGTTAAAATTGATTTTGTTCTGTTGCCGTCTGTTATTCTGATTATATTGCAAAATTCCAGGCTATGAATAGCTGGTTGGCTGGTTCACAGCAGAACTGTGTGGGTGCAGATCATTATTCTTCCAGAGAAGCTGGCCGGGAAGTGTGTTAGTGGTGGGCTGGAGTGGGGAATGGGATTGGCTGTGTTATGGACAAAAAAAAACTGCAGATGCTGGAATCCAAGATAGACAAACAGGAGGCTGGAAGAACACAGCAAGCTTGGCAGCATCTGGAGGAAAGGAGCAGCCAACCCGAAACGTTGACTGCCACTTTCCTCCAGATGCTGCCTGGCCTGCTGTGTTCTTCCAGCCTCCTGTTTGTCTACTGTGGCTGCGTTATGACCAGGAAAACGGGGAGGAAAGGAATAAATGAAACTCAGAAGCCAAGCAACACTGGATCACCCGTTCAGTGACAGTGGTTGCTCTGCTACCTGTCTCATTGATGGGCTAATTTTATTGAGAATACAGAGTTTATGCAACCAGGGCCATTAATGGTTCTGACCTCAGCAGAGTAGACCAAGGCCCACCACTGCCAGTCCAGCGGATCAACAGTCTTAGCTGTGTCCCTGTTACTATTGGCCATTTCTGAAGCTTCAAGACACTGTGTGTGAATCTCCTCTCTGGTGCCATCACATCCTTCCTCATGTGAGGAACACAGTACTCCAGCTTGGCCGATCTAATACCTTATACAGATCCATCATTACTTTTTTGCTCTTATATTCAAAGCATTTACTAATAAACACAAATATTTCACATACACATGCCTTCTTAACCACCTAATTCACCTGTCCCATTGCCTTCAAGAATCTGTGGGCATGTACCACCATATCCCTATGATCCTCTGAACTTCCTAAGATCTTAGCGTTCATCATATACTCCCTTGTCTTGTTAGAGCTCCCAAAATGAATCACTTCACACTTTTTCATGGTTAAATTTACTTTACCATTGTTCTGTCCACCTGACCAGTACATCTATATTTTCCTATAGTCTCAGGCTTTCCTCCTCATTAGCTATCACACCACCAATTTCCATAGCATTGGGAACTTACTGATCCCTCATTCATGTCTAGATCATTAATGTACATGACAAACAGAAGAGACCCAGTAGAAACCATACATTATGCCACTGGACTCAAGCTTCCAATCACAAAAGCAATTTTTAATTAGCATCCTCTGCCTCCTGCTGCTAAGGTAGCTTGCTTACCCAAGTATCAATCCATCTCTGCCTTAAAAAATAATCAGAGATTCTGATGCTATTATCTTTTCAGGAATTGAGAATTCCAAAGACTCATGACTCTGAAAGAAAACAAATCGCCTCATCTCTGTTTTGAATGGGCAACCCTAGTTTTTAAATAGAGACCCCTAGTCCTTAAGAGAAATTATTCACTTCACACCTACAGTGTCAAAAATCCTCATGATGTTTTAGGAACTTAAGATCCTAAGACCTCTCAGAAAATACTACAAATAAATGAAAGTGCTCACGTTGGCTCAGTTGCTGAGTACTGCTTACTCCTTCCCCTGATTTGTAGGTTCATATGTATGTTGTTGCCCCAAGTCAGAAAGATGCAATTTCAGGTCCCAGTTCAGAGACTTGAGTACAAGGATCTAAACTGATCCTTCAGCACATCAAGGACTTTGGCCTTTCAGTGGATTTGCTAAACTTATTTGTTCCCTGTAGGTCGATTATAAAATCTCCCATGGCAATATTTTGAAGAAGCTAAGAAGATTCCTGATCAATATTTATCCCTCAACATAAAATAAACCAAAGTATTTAGTCATTATTACATTGCTACACTTCCTCCAATACTATAGTGACAACACTTCAACAGTACAACCTTGGCTGTAAAGTGCACTGGGATGTCCTGTGGAGATGAAAGGGGTGAAAGAAATACAAGTCTTTCTTTTTTCTTTCTTTTAACCATAGAAGCATAATGAGTCATAATTTGTTGAATTTAGGTAACTCGATTGTATTCACATAAAGTATTAAGTTAAATAAACATGGGCTTGTTGCTGAGGGAACTACTGAGGGAAATAAAACCGGTTAACATTATGTTGACTAACTGTCATACAAGTGAATGCCAGTGTAATGAGGATCTCGGGATTCTCAGGAAATGCAGTCATGATTTGTGGTTTAAGGAATTTGTCGTAGAGTATAAGAATGTATTTACATTCAGTGTTATATTTTCATTTTAACAGAGAAGAGCTAAACTCAGTTTAATGGGTAATGCCATAATCATCATTAGTGAAGAAGCACAAACAAAACATACCTTCAGATAAGCTGCAGGTATTTGTTTAAATGAGGGAATCACCAGTTTTAAGTCTTTAGGTAAAGGCAGGATGGAAAGAGAGTGCAACAAAGGGAGCTGATGAATGGAGAGATGTTGAAGAAGGGGCAAGTATGGGGGTGAGAGGTACACAGGCGACTTTGAAGTCTTTACATTCCACATGATGATAGTTTTAACGGAAGCATCCAGCCCAAAACTCTGGGAGATCCTTGCCTTTGCAATGTTTGATGCTTATCCTTGTACAAAACCAAAATACTGCAGATGGGGGAAATCTGAGCTCTAAATATGAAATACTGGAAGTATTCAGCAGGTGTGCATAGAGAAACAGATTGAACAATTCTGATCAATAATCTTTCATTGGATTGACAAAATGTCAGCAACGCGGGATTTTAGGCCTATTTCTATCTGCAGAGAATTCACCAGACGATTCTAGAGGGTGTGCAGGGCCAGAGGGACCAGGGTGTATACATGCACAGCTCATTGAAGGTGGGAGAGCATGTTGAGAGAGCAGCTAATGAAACATATATCATCCTCGACTTTATTAATAGGTCCTTATTAATAGAGTTCAAGTACAAAGCGGTTATGTTAAAATTGTAGCTGTTTGAGAGTATTGCATCCAGTTCTGGGAGCCACACTTCAGGAAAGATGTGAAGCCATTATGGAGTATGAAGAAACAACTCAAGAAAATGGTTTCCAGGATAAGGACTTTATGGTGTGCAGATTGGAGGGGTTCTGCGGTGAAGAGAATGTTGAGAGTTTTGATTAAAACATCGTTTTTTAGGTTAGGATTTGAATGCACTGTCTTCAGAGTTTGGTGGAGGCAGATCCAATTGAATAATTTAAGAGGGAATTAGATTACAATCTGAAAAGGAAGACATTCATGGCCACAGGGAGAAGGCCAGAGAGTTGAGCTGAGCAAATTGCTTTTTCAGGGAGCCATCATTGACTTGATGTATTGGGAGCTGTCATGTTAGTATCCCAATCTCTGAACCAGGGGACCTGGGTTCAAGTCCCACTTGCTGCATGGGTATATAATAACATCTCTGTGTAGATTGATTGGAAAATATCTCGACATGATGTGTCATCGAGTCCCTACAGTGTGGAAGGAGGCCATTCAGCCCATCATGTCTGTACCGACTTGCTGAAGAGCTTCCTCCCAGACTCAATCCCCCCCCAACCCCACAACCTCACATTTAAAATGGCTGATCCACCTGGGCTGCACACCCCTTAATACTGTGGGGAAACTTAGCCTGGCCAATCCACCTGACCTGCATGTCTTTGGACTTTGGGAGGAAACTGGAGCATGCAGAGAAAACCCATGCAGACACAGGGAGAATGTGCAAACTCCACACAGTCAGTCACCTGAGGCTGGAATTAGACTCTGATCCCTGGTGCTGTGAGGCAAATGTGCTAACCACTGAGCCACTGTGCTGCCCGTGTCAAATGCTGTCCTTCTCTGCAGTAACCATCCTCACATCCCACAGTCACTTGGACAACTAAATAGCAGCATTTTTTTAAGAAGTGCAATCTTGATGCAGAACTGTTTGGTATCCAGTCTTGTTTAAACCTCTCGATACTGTGATACTGCTCCCAAGCCTTAATCTCAGTATAAAGCCAAAGATAGACATATAACAAGCAATTTTTCTATCCATAGCACATTCTGAGAAAGTTACCCCTGTATCATAATTCACCCTTGGGAGATAAGTGAATAGCATGTTGAACAGTACAGAGTCAACTGAGCCTTAACCTGCTATTTAATGTTCCACTGGTTTAAGATTAAGTTAAGAAGCTTCAATTCAAAAGGACAATGCTGAAAACTTGAAATAAAACAGAAAATGTTGTATCTACTCAGCAGGTCGGATATCATCTGTGGAGAGAAGCAGATGGAATCATTCCTGCCTACCAAATAGAGAAGCCTATGTTGCTTCTTATTTTTATTCATTTGTGGGATGAGGGCATCACTGGCTAGGCAGCATTTATTTCCCATCCCTAATTGCCCAGCGGGCAGTTAAGAGTTAACAACATTGCTGTGGGTCTGGAGTCACATGCAGGCCAGACCAGGTAAGGATGTCAGTTTCCTTCCCGAAAGGACATGAGTGAACCAGATGGATTTTTTTCTACCTGACAATCGGCAACGATTTCACAGTCATCATTCGACTCCTAATTCCGAATATTTATTAAATTGAAGTTCCACCTTTTGCCATGGCAGGGTTCGAACCCATTTCCACAGAATGTTACCATCTCTGAATTAATAGTCTGGCGATTATATCACTAGGCCACTACCTCCTCTCTTTTTAGGAAAATGCCTGTATCATGCCCCTCAGGCACTTATGTTGACAGCTGAGGACTTTACCTGGGATCAAGGACCGGGGCAGAAAATCCATGCGGGTACCCATGGCCACCCCCTTTGTCTGTAGGAAGTGGGAGGAATTGAAAGAGAAGTTGTTGAGGGTGAGGACGAGTTCGGCTAAGCGGATGAGGGTGTCAGTGGAGGGGGACTGGTCGGGCTTGCAGGACAGGAAGAAGTGGATGGCCTTTAGGCCATCTGCATGGGGAATGCAGGTGTATCGGGACTGGACATCCATGGTAAAGATGAGGTGTTGGGGACCGGGGAATTGGAAGTTCTGGAGGAGGTGGAGGGTGTGGGTGGTGTCACGGACGTAGGTAGGGAGTTCCTGGACCAAGGGGGAGAAAATGGAGTCCAGATAGTTGGAGATAAGTTAGGTGGGGCAGGAGCAGGTGAAGACAATGGATCGACCAGGGCAGTCAGGTTTGTGGATTTTGGGAAGGAGATAGAAGCGGGCGTTGCAGGCTTGGGGAACGATGAGGTTGGAGGCCGTGGGTGTGAGGTCATAGTTATTTCCATAAGTAAACAGATAATGTTTATTTATGTCTGAATATAACCTGAACTGTTCTTGTGTCAGCATCTGTAAACAGTTTTGCTTGAATGCAATACTTGCTTGCAATTAACAACCATGGAAATGAATTTACTGGAGAGCAGTTTTGCACAAATTTTAAAAAAAGTAAAGCCCCTCCTTCATGTCAAGTACCTCTGTGCCTTTGCTGTAATTTCGGAATCATGGAAATGCCCTGTTAATATTGTATTTACCGATACGATTTGGACTGAAGGAACCATGAAACACAATAATAAGATTTCGACTGTGGTACACCTCAAGAATTTTTCACAGCTTAGCCATTAAGTTTCAATTGTCTCTTTAAAATACATGAAGAAAATGACTCTCTCCTGAAGGTAAATGCTCCTTATCTCTAGCATCATAGTACATAGTCTCTGTGGGTTTGTATTCCTCACCCCTAGAGTTCTGAGTTCAATATTGATGCTCCCATTTTCCAGATATGAAATGAGTGCCCACTAAGAAATTTAACAGCCTGTGCCTTTACCTGATTAGTACAGGCATTCGACTCATGAGTGCTTTGATTAGGCAATGAAGTGCTGGATCCCTGTTGAGCCTTTTTTTCTCAGCATCCAGTTCCATCCACTTTACTGGGATGATTGGCTGACCCCAGTTGCTATAAATAAAAATTAGACAATTGAGCACCTCTCTCTGGTAGACCTGTGAAATGTGACATTTTCCTCACTCTGCATTACCAACTCTGGAAAATTCAGACCAAAAGTATAAAAACCAAATGGTTTTGTTGAATGAATTTTGTCACTAGATTCTGTTTTAAAGATTTTCAACATCGGACGTGGTACAAAGGAAATAATCTAGTTGCTATGATTCTTTTTATTGATCCACCTTTAATAAAAGCTGAGACTGACTTCAATAATCCTTTCTACTTTTCACTTACTAATGATTTTTCATTTTAAAAAACCTTTTCTCCAGAAAAAAGTACGTATGAGTGATATGACCATTGTAAATTGTCTGTCAGAATTTTAATGATTAAAGAAAGAATTCAAATATTAATGGCAATATTCCCCGATAATATTTCAGCTGTCACGTGGTCTGTAACTCCTCTATTCAGTTTTTGGCTCCTTCACTGACAACACCAATTACATTTGAATAACGGCAGAATTATAGGCCTCCCCACCCCCAATGGAATGAGTACATGGCTGGGCGATGATGAGAATTATTGCCAGTCTATCAATTTAAGGTCATTATTGCTGCCGTCAGTCATTTAACCCAAGACAGGGGGAGACCAGATCCAGCAAACTCCCTGATTTGAATAAGTGGTTGATCTTATTAATGAGTTTGTTGTCAGCTCCTCAAAAGCCAGTTTGGAATTCTTGTGGGAGCGCACAATATTTGCTCAAGATTTGCACAATGGAACATGAACAGTCCAGATACGGGGAGGTGGCAGCACAGCAGTGAGCTTTGTTCAATAAAAGGCAGCAGACCAGCGAGAGGCACTCAGCCATTTGTGCATAGGTACCATTGGGTGAGCAAAGAAGGCCACATGAGAGAACTGCTCATACTCAATGGGTGCAGAGGTTTGGGGCCATAGGGGAAAGAGGATGTCACAAATTGTTCTGACTGAAGCTAAGTTTAAATAAGGTGACTGCTGCAATGGGCATTAAGGTTTTCAGAGATTGGGTCAAGTAGCAATGAGGATTTACATCCTCACTTGTAAGGGTGGTGCCAGGTCATGAGAAGGGCAAAAGAGAGGAGTGAGGACCAGAAGTGGAATGGAGATCATACCTGCAACACCCACCGAGGAAGGAACTACCTGGATGTGTAAGAACACCATTGCTGCCGGAAACTGCATGAGCCCAGATGATTGGTTAACTAAGTTTGTGTCCTTGAACTGGAAGAATGGTCAACATGCAACATTGTTCACCATTGCCCTTTGCCAGCCAGCAAGTGAAGTCATTGTGTCCTTGAATATCCTCACCCCTGGCTCCTGCCAATGATCAGGAACTGGCATTGGTGGAGTCTCTGAAGCAGCAGCAGCACACCACAGCATCTTGCAGGTCACTGCTGCCTATTTGTGACATTGACCAATACAAACAATTCATGTAGACATGACATGCGGGGAAAATGGTAGTGAGGCACCTCCCCCCCACCCCACCACCACCTCGAATGTGAGATTCCGTTCAAAGCAAGTCACTTCATGTGCACCATGTGACTACAAGAAGGGCTTCTCTATGAACAGGATGTTGCCATCCAGCCAAAATACCACCCAAATATGCAACATGATATATGAGTTTCAGTGCCAGTGTGATGCCATGTGCATAGGCCATACATCTCAATGACTGGTGTTTTCAGTTCTGACGAAGGGTCACCAGATCCAAAGCGTTAACTCTGATTTCTCTTCACAGATGCTGCCGGACCTGCTGAGCTTTTCCAGCAATTTCTGTTTTTGTTGTCAGCTTGCGTCAAACAGCATGTGCTTTTGCCTCTTTCCAACTGGTGGAGTATTGCTTGTACTCAGCATGCCCATAGTTACTAAACTACGTATCCAATATGAATATGTTATTTTGTAGGACTTACCGAACAATCCCGAGTGTGCCACAAATTACAATAACAGGAAACATAAATTATCATTCAGGCTCACAATGTGGCTCACAAATGTTTGCCCCAAGCTACAGCTATTCAAAGCCCAGCCTTCTGCAGGCAAAAGGAACTTGTACATCTACATCGGTGAGACCAAGCAGAGGCTCAGAGACCATTTTGTAGAGCATCTGCACTCCGTTGCGACAAACAACAATACCTTCCGGTCGCGAACCATTTTAACTCCCCCTCCCACTCCCTGGGTGTCATGTCCATCCTGGGCCTCCTCCAGTGTCACAATGACGCCACCCACAAACTGGAGAAGCAGCACCTTGTATTCCGCATCAGGAGCCTACAACCCAATGGTCTCAATGTGGACTTTACCAGTTTCAAAATCTCCCCACCCCCGGCCTCATCCCATGACCAACTCTCCCTCTCATCCCCGCCTCCTTGACCTGGCACAACCTGTCCATCTTCTCTCCCACCTATCTGCTCTTCCCACCTCACTGACCAATCCCCACGACTGCCTACCTGCACTCACCTATCACCATCCCACCTACCTTCCCCAGCCACAGCCCCACCCCTCCTCTCTCTATTTATTTCTGAGCTCCCTTCCCCCTCCCCATTTCTGAAGAAGGGTTTGACCTGAAACATAAACTTGCTTGTTCCTCTGATGCGGCCTGACCTGCTGTGTTCCTCCAGCTCCACACTGCATTATCCCTGACTCCAGCATCTGCAGTTCTTGCTAACCTTTGTACAGGTATTGTGCTTTTTTGATGTAACAAAAGCATGGGGTGCATTGTATCCTGCTTGGACCAATCAGAATCTACGATTCAACTAATTATCAACATGTTTCTTATAAATTGTTGTTCTCTTTGAAATATTTTCATCTTGCATCTGTCCTGATGAGTGCGAAAGGAAAAGCTTTGATAGCAGATCTGTTTTGTTTCAGTAATACTCAGAAGTCTGACATGTGAGTACATGTCTCACAGTTGACTCTCTTAGCTTATCACTTCTGCTGCCCTGCACCCAGCTCCATGACTGAAGGGAAACTACCCACTGTTGATTCGACCTCCCACGTATCCTCCTGGTCACTCATATCCTGTTCTTCATCCTGTGCCAATCTTTCTGACCATGCATAGGACATACACAATGAACATGACTATATCTGCACTCGTGGAGCTTGCACTCAGATGATCTGATAGTGCTAGCTTTGCTGTCTCGGAATTTTTACCCTGATCAGTCAACAGCTCTGTGGTGCTTACTTTCTATGACTGTTCCTCTGGCAGACGCGAAGATCATGAGAATGGGCCATTGACAGCACAGACCTTTGTAAAATGTCCTATTGAGGAAATAGCCAGACAGATGATTACAACAAGGTCTTCCAGACAGTAGGTCTTAAACGGTTAGACATTCTTCAAATTGGTTGCACACCAAAGAGGATACTCAGGCACTCAGAGAAGGAGGGCTGAAGGCAGATCTGGAGATTCAGAGATGCTGGAGCAGAAGGAGGTGAGGCCATGGAAAACATTGTAATTGGAAAGAGCATTTGAGTTTGATCTGCTGATGATGAGGCTTACCAGTGTATGAATGTATTTATAGATGTGGGTACTATTCTAAAGAGTATTTTCTTGCCTAGTGAGTGCTTCTGTGCACCCCGAAATTGTGGAAGTGCCACAGAAGTATGTGTCTTTGTATTATTTGCTCTGAATCTTCTGCCATCTCCCCAAACCAATTGGCTGCTACCATCAGACTGAGAAACATGCAAGAAAATTGTGTTAGCACCACTGCCTTGAAGCTCAGAATGTCCTGGAAATGTGTTGTTAGATGGACCTGTTTAGTTTTAGTTGTTAATGCTGTAATCTAACAAATTGCTTTTAACAATACAGCTAAAGTCAACATGGGCTTTGCAGAGTTTGTCATCAACAAAACTTAATGCAATTAACTGTTGCCAGTAAGTAAACAGCGCATGAATTAACAATTTTACTTTTTTGTTGTTAAAGAGAACCCCAGAGAATCTTGCTTTGATCCTGGAACCATCAAGAATGGGACAAGGGTGGGGACACACCTCAAGCTTGGATCCACAGTGACTTTTTACTGTGACAGTGGCTATGAAATCGTTGGCTATTCAACTCTGACTTGCATCATGGGAGCAGATGGAAAACCTTCCTGGAACAAGCCTGTTCCGTCCTGTTCAGGTAACTGCACCAACATGTAGAAAAGTTCAAGTTGTACCAAAGTGCAATTTACTTGGCAGCAACTACTATTTCCTTGCTATACGGAAAGGTAATTTTTATAATAGTCTTGTTCCATCCTGTCCATTCCATTTCAAAATACATTTCCTTTCTGGTTTTGCAAAGGCCAACGTGGTATATACCATTCAATACCAAGGTACCTAGGCAGCCTTACTGTTTATGAATTTTGCTGTGGATGGATCTTTTGAAGGTTCATCAAAGCAGCAATGTTTCCTTTAATCTCTATTTTTTCTCACAATTAATATGTCCTTATTAATTCTTTGAATAGCATGGTTGGTAATGAGGTTTCAATCACAAGAGAGATCTTGGATGTTTTTCTTTTGCCTTCACCACATGCGTGGTAAATTGACATGTTGTAATATTTTGAAATGCAGTTTGTGTACATTGTTCACTTATAGCTGCCATACCAAACAACGCTAATAGATGGAGCTGTACGAAAAAGAAAAAAGCATGGAGCAATTGATTGATAAAAGATCCGTATTATTTGTTCATACGGTCCTGCATCCTGCTTGATCTGTCTTTAGCTGCTGTCAAATCTCCACAATAACTAATAACCAAGAATCAGTAATTTTATGTAATATATCATTTGCATTTGTTATCCAACTTGCCAAGTTTCCATTCTGTGCCAGCAAAACTAGATAGTTCTAAAATGGATGGCTAATCTGCTAGGCCACATTCCCACTGATGTTGTGAATGCAAGAATTACTTGTTTACCTTGTGTGCATCTGTTTCCCAGGTTAAAACTACACACGAGAACAGGTCAGTAACATTCAGTAATTGTGCCTCCTGGCTCAGAAGTGTGTGATGCATTCAAAGATTATTCAAAAAGATCAAGTAGCCATTCTCTGTTGGTGACCAATATTGATTGGGTGGAACCCTATTGTAGGCCTGAGAAAAATACCCATGAGCAAGGATCGATGACTGCGTAGTTGCATCCATTACCACTATCTTACATAGAAAATAATTATGAAAGTTCAGACACTAGCTACCAGAAAACCAATCAGTCATACCATTCACGGCATTTTTTTATTAAACTGTTATCAGTGGCTACAATATTTTCTGAGATTTCTAATGATGCCCTTCACATTCCGGCAATGTGTTATTTCTTCAGGTTACTTCTGTCAGGTTTTTAAGACTACAGTTGAAGTACTTCCCCTAACCCCACTTTGCAAACTAGGATTATTGGGAAACATTATTGTCATTCATCATCTCTCTTACTCCAACCCCCTAATGTTCGATTTTCCTCAGATTTTCATTTTTCATTTTGAAATTTTTTTTCTGTTAGATTTGAATGATTGGCCTTTTTTCTGCTCTTTTATTGGCTAAAGTGCCTAACATTTGTTCTGTGCTTTTTGTCATTTTTTTTTCCATGAAAGCTGAGTTACCCAGTCATGAGGAATAGGGCATTTATTAATTCAATATTTTTAGCTTGGATTTCATAAGATGCTGCAAAATGCTCCGTTAGTTAGGGAAGAATATCCCCTGGCACACTTCATGACACCCCCCCCCCCCCCCCCCGCCCCCCCGAAGGATAGGCTATTATATTGAGAAGTTCCTGAGTTGTGAATATAAATGGCATGAAAATATAAATGAAAATTACTTTCTATTAATTTTAGCCTGTCATTTTGCACTTATTTTGAGCATCAACTTGTTTGCAATGCACCATCATAATTGAATTGCTTTCATGATCTAAATTTTAATCTGTTCATTCCACCTGAATATAATATTTGAAAGATATGATCAGGTATTTTTGTTACATTTATTAGTTCAGAAACGTTATTGTCCTTTTAAACCTGGGTTCCTGACAAATAGCACAATGAATTTATAATTAATTTTGGCACTTAGTGAACATTTGGAACCAGAAATAATGTTTCAATATTTACTAATGCCATTGTTCTGTCCGCACTTTGAACATTTGTGCTGACGCATTTCAAAGTGAGCACACACTAATCCATGGGAACAAGGGGAGCTCTCTTAATCTATCCAGCATGTTTACTGAGATCATGGCTGATATCCGATCTAATTTCATATATGTGCTTGGTCTCGTATCCCTTAATATATAAACCTCATGTTTAAATTCATTGTGGATCTAGTTTGTGTTAATTGCCATTTGCAGAGAAGAGTTTCACATTTATATGATCTTTCATGTGTAGAAATGTTTCCTTATCTGAAAGATTTGCTCTAATTTTTAGAAGAAGCCTCATTGTTCTGGTTTCTTGACTTGCAAGACAGTTTCTCTCCATGTGTTCATAGTATCTTGAAAACCTCAATCAAATCACTTCTTAACCTCATTGCAGCAATTCTAATAATGGAATTAAATAACTCATAGAATAGAATCCCTACAGTGTGGAAACAGGCCCTTCGGCCCAACAAGTCCACACCAACCCTCAGAACATCCCACCCAGACCCATCCAATCTACACATCCTTGACCATAATGGGCAATTTAGCATGGTCAATCCACCTAGCCTGCACATCCTTGGACTGTGGGAGGAAACCCACACAGACACGGGGAGAATGTCCAAACGCCACACAGACAGTTACCCGAGGGTGGAATCGAACCCAGGTCCCTGGCACAGTGAAGCAGCAGTGCTAACCACTGAGCCACTGTGCTGCCCCTAGTTTTTGTAATTTCTCTCATAGAACCCCTGATTCTATGCATTATTCAGGTAAACCTATACTGCATTCCTTCAAGGCCAATATAGGTATAGAGATCAGAAAACCTCTCAGTGCTGTGTGGTCTTGCACTGCTCTGAAACAGGGTATTGAATTGCTCAAGCATAACCTCTAACCCCTTGTATTTTCATCCTCTAGAAAGGAAAAGCAACATTCCATTAGATATTTTGATTATTTTCTGTATCTTTTCAAAGTTTTTTATCATCTGTGTGCAGAGACTCCAAGCCTCTGGACCTCTGCTCCTTCTAACTTTGCATCATTTCGACAAACCCTGTTATCCTCTTTTTAAGCCCCAAGTGGATGGCCTCACATTAAAGTACGTTGAAATCTATTTGCCACAGATTTACCCATTGACAATGTATTAATGTCTGCTTATAATTTTGTGCTTCATCCACAACTTTATCTTTGTGGCATCAGCAAACTTGGTTATGGATATCCCATCATCTATTACTCTTATTAATACATATGGTGAATAATTGAAACTTCAGTACATATCTTTGTGGGATACCACTCATGACATGCAAACAGTTTGAGAGCCTGTGCATTATGTTGAATGCCCTCTGCTACTTGACCATTTTCCTCTCCAGGACAGTACTTTGCATCGTATTCCATGAGTTTCAACTTCATCAAACTGTCTCTTACAAGGGACTTCATCTTAGGCCTTCTGGAAGGCTATATGAATAAAATCTATATCCATTATTTCAGCTGCTTCTTCAAAAAATCCAATCAGGCTCATCAGGTAGTACCGACTCTTTACAAATTGAAGCTGGCACTCTCTAATCAGCTGAAAATTTTCAAGATTATCAGTCACCCTATTCTTAATCATGGACTCCAGTACCTCCCTGACAGCAGATGTCAGGCTAACTGGTTTATCATTCCCCAGTTTGCACTTTCTTCAACAATAGACTGACTTGTACAGTTTCTCAGTTCTCAAAGAGCTGGTCCCGGCTTGAAAGAACTTTCAAAGACTAGTGTTAAGCGATCTGCAATTTTCTCCCCAACTTTCTTTAAACCCTGGGATGGAAACATTCAGTCCTGGGAGTTTGTCTCTTCTTAGTGTCATTATTTCCTTCATGATTGTCATTTATTTTAACATGATTCTGTTCCTGAATACCTAATGCAGCACCTCTGTTTATGATAATGAGAGCTAATTATTCTAAACAGATGCTTGGTATGACCAGCAATAGCCTCTTATCTGGGGTTACAGTGTAAGCTTTCTCCATTTGATATATTGCATGATCATAGAATCCCTACAGTGCAGAAAGTAGTCTTTCGACCCATTGAGTCAGCATTGACCTTCCGAAGAACATCCCACCCAGAACCACCCCATCCCTGTAACCCACATTTACAGTGTCTAATCCACCCATCTTGCATATCCCTGGATATTATGTGCACAATTTAGCAAGGACAATCCACCTAACCTGCATATCTTTGAACTTTGGGAGGAAACTGGAGCACATGGAGGACACAGAGAGAACATGCAAACTCCACACAGTCAGTCAACACTGGAATCGAACCCAGTCCTGGTGCTATTAATAAGCAGTGCTAACCACTGTGCCACACCAAATGACAAGCAATTGCTATTCAGTAGAAGAGTGGAATTTAAACAAGAGAGTCAATTTTCTAAGATAACAAGGTGCAGGGCTGGATGAACACAGCAGGCCAAGCAGCATCATAGGAGCAGGAAGGCTGACGTTTCAGGCCTAGACCTAGGGAGGGGAAGGGGGTTCTGAAATAAATAGGGAGAGGGCAGAGGCGGTTTGAAGATGGATAGAGGAGAAATTGGGTGGAGAGGAAACAGACACGTCAAAGAGGCGGGGATGGAGCCGGTAAAGGTGAGTGTAGGTGGGGAGGTAGGGAGGAGATAGGTCAGTCCAGGGAGGACGGACAGGTCAAGGGGGCGGGATGAGGTTAGTAGGGAGGAGATGGGGGTGCGGCTTGAGGTGGAAGGAGGGGATAGGTGGGAGGAAGAACAGGTTAGGAAGGCGGGGACGAGCTGGGCTGGTTTTGGGATGCGGTAGAGGGAGGGGAGATTTTGAAGCTTGTGAAATCCACATTGATACCATTGGGCTGCAGGGTTCCCAAGCGGAATATGACTTGCTGTTCCTGCAACCTTCAGGTGGCATCGTTGTGGCACTGCAGGAGGCCCAGGATGGACATGTCGTCTGAGGAATGGGAGGGGGAGTTGAAATGGTTCGCGACTGGGAGGTGCAGTTGTTTATTGCAAACCGAGTGTAGGTGTTCTGCAAAGCGGTCTCCAAGCCTCCGCTTGGTTTCCCCGATGTAGAGGAGGCCACAATGGGTACAGCGGATGCAGTATACCACATTAGCAGATGTGCAGGTGAACATCTGCTTGATGTGGAAAGTTTTCTTGGGGCCTGGGATGGGGGTGAGGGAGGAGTTGTGGGGGCAGGTGTAGCACTTCCTGCGGGTTGCAGGGAAAAGTGCTGGGTGTGGTGGAGCTGGAGGGGAGTGTGGAGCGGACAAGGGAGTCACGGAGAGAGTGGTCCCTCCAGAAAGCAGATAAGGGTGGGGAGGGAAAAATGTCTTTGGTGGTGGGGTCGGATTGCAGATGGCGAAAATGTCGGAGGATGATGCGTTGGATCTGGAGGTTGGTGGGGTGGTACGTGAGGACGAGGGGGATTCTTTTTTGATTGTTATTGAGGGGACGGGGTGTGAGGGATGAGTTGCGGGAAATGCGGGAGACACAGTCGAAGGCGTTCTCGACCACTGAGGGGGGAAGTTGCGGTCCTTGAAAAACGAGGACAACTGAGATGTACGGGAGTGGAATGCCTCATCCTGGGAGCAGATGTGGCAGAGGCGAAGGAATTGGGAATAGGGGATGGCATTTTTGCAGGAAGGTGGGTGGGAGGAGGTGTATTCTCGGTAGCTGTGGGAGTCGGTGGGCTTGAAATGGATATCGGTTTCTAGGTGGTTGCCCGAGATGGAGACAGAGAGGTCCAGGAAGGGGAGAGAGGTGTTAGAGATGGTCCAGGTGAACTTAAGGTTGGGGTGGAAGGTGTTAGTGAAGTGGATGAACTATTCGAGCTCCTCGTGGGAGCACGAGGCAGCGCCGATACAGTCATCAATGTAACGGAGGAAGAGGTGGTGTTTAGGGCCAGTGTAGGTACGGAAGAGGGATTGTTCCACATAACCTACAAAGAGGCAGGCATAGCTTCGGCCCATGCGGGTACCCATGGCCACCCCCTTTGTTTGTAGGAAGTGGGAGGAATTGAAAGAGAAGTTGTTGAGGGTGAGGACAAGTTCGGCTAAGCGGATGAGGGTGTCAGTGGAGGGGGACTGGTTGGGCCTGCAGGACAGGAAGAAGCGGAGGGCCTTTAGGCCATCTGCATGGGGAATGCAGGTGGATAGGGACTGGACATCCATGGTAAAGATGAGGTGTTGGGGACCGGGGAATTGGAAGTTCTGGAGGAGGTGGAGGGCGTGGGTGGTGTCACGGACGTAGGTAGGGAGTTCCTGGACCAAGGGGGAGAAAATGGAGTCCAGATAGTTGGAGGTAAGTTAGGTGGGGCAGGAGCAGGCGGAGACAATGGGTCGACCAGGGCAGTCAGGTTTGTGGATTTTGGGAAGGAGATAGAAGCGGGCGGTGCGGGGTTGGGGAACGATGAGGTTGGAGGCCGTGGGTGGGAGGTCACCTGAGGTGATGAGGTTGTGGATGGTTTGGGAGATGATGGTTTGGTGCTCGGGGGTTGGGTCATGATCAAGGGGGCGGTAGGAAGAGGTGCTGGAGAGTTGGTGCCTGGCCTCGGCAATGTAGATATGAAGCTCTCCTTTTAAAAGCTTTGGGGTCATTGGACATGTATCATTTCATCTGAGAAATTTCAAATATTTGTCAAGTCATTAGGGAAAGGTTGCAGGGATCAGTGAACACTGCCAATTGGGAGTTGAGTTTTAACTAGTGTATTTCATTTAAAAAAACTTGAGCTCAAATTTATACATTCTTATCCAAATTAATTACTGTGTGCATTGAAACCGTTCATCAACTTTTCAAGCATTGCTGAGTTTTGCTGAAACCTAAGGAAGAGAAATATACCTCGAGTGATGGAAAAGGCTGTGGTGATAATATCAAGGAGTTTTCATCCTCAGAAAGGTTGGTGACATTGTTTCTTGAGCTGCAGAACAGTAGCAGTTCCTCTGAAGTTGGGCAGCCTGGGGTTATCGCATGCCTTTGATGTAGGAGTTATAGGCAACTGTTCTCCTTTTAGATCCATTGCAATTTGATGGAATGAATTTCCACGGACTACCACATTTTGGGTCAATTGTTATGAATACTAGAATAATGAGTTATGAATTTATAATCTCTGTCAGTCAAAGAGAAGATCCATTACCCCACATCAGACAGTATAAATGTTAGAGATAGTAGGAACTGCAGATGCTGGAGAATCTGAGACAACAAGGTGCAGGGCTGGATGAACACAGCAGGCCAAGCAGCATCATAGGAGCAGAGAGGCTTTAAATGTTACATTTCTTGACATTTTTGTAATGGGTTTTCCACTTTATTTTCCAGCACCGTGTGGAGGTCAATACTCTGTATCAGAAGGTGTCATTTTGTCTCCAAACTACCCAAAGAACTACACTGGTGGACAGACATGTTTATATTCCATTATTGTGCCAAAGAACTATGGTATGGACCATTCTCATTGATATAACCTTGCCTGAGTTAATTGATTCCTCATTAACGATGTAAAAGTACATTTCCATTGCAAGGCTCCTCTTCCATATTCTATAAAGATGACCTGCTGACAGGATGCATTTTCAATACAGTGTTTCTGTTCTTGTCTGTTATTAAGCAGCCATTTACATTTCCTCTTATCCCCTCATTTAATTGTTAAATTAGCTTTGGGTTCATAAAAGACTCATCAGTAGCACTCTGAGTCATGCATTAACCTATATTATTTGCATCACTTGAACTAGCCACTTTCTTCTTTCCTTAATCCTTGCACAAATATAGAAGTTATTAGAAAATTGTTAATAGAATCAGTTTAGACTTTTTGTTTTGCATTTTGTTGGTGTGCCTTGTTCTAAAGTAGTTTGATTGTAAACTGATACTGATGCTTGCAAATGTCACAGGCCATGAAATAGAACTGTGCTAATTAATTTTGAATGTTAATCTTGTAAATTTGATTAATTAGCATGATTTCTTTTCCCTCTGTAGTGGTATTTGGCCAGTTTACATACTTTCAAACGGCACTGAATGATGTGATGGAAGTGCATGATGGCCCAACTCAACACTCGCGACTCCTCAGCTCACTCTCTGGCTCCCATACAGGTATTTTCAAATCACTGACAAACAACATAACTCTAGCAGTACGATAGTATACTCTGTTTCATTAATTGAAATGTATAAAGTGGCAAAAGATAGCAACTACAGTCGGTTCTGATATAACGCCAATAGTTCTGCTCTCGTGTGATCTTACGTTATAAGAAAAGCGCACAATAGTTGTGTCATTTAAACTAATGGGGCCAGAATCGCGTTATAGCCAATACTGGCAAGGAAAGTTCGCATTCTGCCAATAGTAGTTTAAATTCTTCAATCACGCTAAAGCCAATTCATGATGGAGAAACACGCATTATAGCAGAACCCACTGTATTGCAGAGCTATAACAAGCCCTGTGCAAAATATTGTATCCTTGTGGTTTCAACAACCTGGTGCATTGCAAATGACACATGTAGTATCAGCACAGTGTGAGGGACCAGTGCAATGTCTGTGCAGTGAGAGTGATTGTTAAGGTCTCAGTACAGTGGGAGTGACTGAATGGCAAGTACAAATCAAATGATGTGATATCAGGTCACTGCAATGTAATAACATGGTATAATCTCACTGCAGGCATGACTGATGTTTCTCTGTGGTAAAGTGGGAGAAAAACTCCATTAGTTTTCATCACCACTTCTTAATAACAAACAGTAAATTAATTCATTTATAATTGATCCATAATTACCACTGCCACGACAGCAGACTAGTAAAATTCAGAGGTAAATTGAGCATCTAGTTAACCTACTTTCTTGTGTTTCCTGATACAATAGGATACAGTGTAAAATGTGCACAATCTAATCTATAAAACTATTAAATAATATCACAAATGAAAGCAAGGCTTCATGTATACAGTTATCTGAATGCTGGAACTCCACTAGCTAGCATTTTTCACATCTGTTACTTTGAGATTTACCACAACACGACTGAAATAAGTTGAGAACAATCTGTGTACCTTGTGTGTCATCCTCCACAAAAGGTACATTATCTTAATCATCATCATGTCCAACAAGGAAGATTGCAGTCATTAGAGCAAATTGCGTGTGATCAGATTGAAGATCTGACTGTTACTGAGTCCAAAATGATGGTCCGGATGGTTGATTGGGGACCAGTAATATATGTGCAGTTACTGGCAGCGGCATTGAGTATTATGTGAGACGGCTCTCTAGATTTGTTTTGATACCAGTCGGACTACTGAATTTAAGTACACCGACCTTTTAAAGTTTTTTTTCAAGGCAAGGTTCCTGCCGCTGGTGAGCTTTCATAGTCATGCATAGCTGCATTCTCAACCTGACCACAAGTAATGTTCTTGGTAAAGTCTGTACCAAAATTGTCATATGATAATGCAAAGCCAAAGAGGAATGTAAGCTGTGAAGAGGGTGCAAACAGATACAGACAAGTTAAGTCACACAGAATCAAGGTGGCAAACAAAATACGATATCAGGAGGTATGATCTATTCATTTCCGTGAGAAGAATAGAGAAACAGAATATCTTTTAAAAGGCATGAAACTTTTACCAGTTGGAAGTTCTGACAGGCCTGGATGTACTTGCCCAAGGAACATAAAATATTAGCACGTAGTAATGGAAAATAATTAAGAAAACAACTAGTTGACTATTATTGCAAAAGGATTGGATTACAAAAATAAGTAAGTCTCACCGCAGTTGGACTTTGCTGAGACCATCTTAGAGGTCTATCCATCTGTTCGAGTCTGCAAGTTGAGTGCCTGTCCCCGTGTGCAAAACTGCAGCCTTTCAATCTAGTTACTGGAACACCTTGCAATGTGAGTCTGTGCTTTCAGATTGTACTGCCAGTGAACAGTAGAAGTGCCAGAATGTTTGTGATGGGGTGACACATGCTGGATACCACTGTCACTGGAGGAGGAGTGCATGCAGCCGGTGCCCATTGACCATGTCCTAGCTGCTGTTTAGTCACAGATGACATATGAGTCATTTGGAACAAGCGGCAAGCTGAATCTGTTAGATACCAGTTCTAGTTTCCTTGTCAAGTTTTTCCAACAGCTAGCTCACTTGGCAAGTTGTAAGGTGGAAAACTGAATATTAATGTGGTAAGTTGTGATATTAACAAAGCATTTAACAAGTGCTAGTCCCCATCAATTGGCATCTCACTGCTACCTAGCGAGAATCTTGCCACATTGCTTGTGAAAAACATAAAAGTTGGAGCAAGATAAACTTCACCTCTAGATGTGCCCTTCTGGACATCTATCTCATTGCTGCTACACGTCTCACCATAGTCCACATTGCTCAAAGCCTTCTAAGATCCATTCTCTCACAAGAATAAAAGTACAAAGCTTTAAAAGATGGTCATCTCCAGTACAAGACGGAAGAAAAGGGAATATATGATTTAAAATCCTTGGGGTATATGAGTCCGTGGTCAGTTAGTGGGGACCTCGGTTGGTATCGGCTGTGAGTATTGCAGATGTGATTTGAGTTCTTAGTGTTCAGACATTTCTCCAATTGTATTATCAGCAGTTGCATTGTCCTTCTGGAGCAAGAACAAGGAGTGAACACATCCTCCAGTTCTGCTGTTCCAAATCTATCTCCAGTGTTTTGTCAAAGCAGTTGTTCAAAATTTGGCTGATTTGTACATTCCCATGTCTGGGGTAATTGTTTCAATATTGGGCAATTGTAGGCAAGTCCTTCATTTTCAATATGTGAAACTTATGCAGGTGTAAAGATAGGAAATATGACTTCACATCTTAGGTTAGGGCGGCACGGTGGCTCAGTGGTTATCACTGCTATCTCATAGCGCCAGGGACCTGGGTTTGATTCCAGCCTTGGGCGGCTGTCTGTGTGGAGTTTGCACATTCTCCCTGCGTCAGCGTGGGTTTCCTCCAGATGCTCCGGTTTCCTCCCACAGTCAAAAGATGTGCAAGGTAGGTGGATTGGCTGTGATAAATTGCCCATAGTGCCCAGGGATGTTTAGGTTAGGTGGGTTAGACATGGGAAATTGGGGGAATGGGTCTGGGTGGGATGCTCTTCAGAGAGGCGGTGTGGACTTTTGGTCGCAAATGGCCTGTTTCCGCACTGTCGGGATTCTATTCTATGAATCTTCACAATGACTGGTCCTAGTCTCTTTTGGTGAAAGGGATATTTTCAGTTCAGACAGTTTTATTTATTCTACAGTGGCCAAGGTGATCACTGCATCCATTAATTACCTGGTGTCCTTTTTAAAAGCTGTTTCATGTGTTTTTTGTTCTTTATATTGAAAGTCTCTGATATTAAAATCAGATGATGGAATATGAAAATGTATAATGCTTATTTTACCACCATCATGATATGGTATAGTTGCAAGTTATTAAATACAAGTTGTTTACCTTGGTACTTTTGGACTTAAAATGGTGCTGTAATGTGGCGACTGTGAACTTTTCACTGTACTCATTTGCGTACATGTGACAATAAAGCTAATTAATTCATTTATTCATTGTTGTTTACAAGGTGAGAAATGTCAGTACTGGTGAATAGAATGCTTTCTCTTTGTTAGCGTATGATTGAAACTTCAAGTACTTTTGGCTCAGATATAAATAGGGAAGCTCAGTATGAAGCTCACTAATACATGATTGACTAATTGCATGATGTACTGTAACCAAGCCTCAGTATCACACCATTACTAAATCAATCTGAATATACTTAGTTCACAACAGCCCCATTAGTTATGCTGCTAGTTTGTTCTGATTAATGGATTACTTTGTGGACTATGTACCCATATTCATTGGGAACAGGTCTAAGAATACCAAAGCTCTCTTCATGTAGAATAATTGTGGCTTTGAAAAGAAAATAAATCTTTCAGAGGTTTCTAAAGCTATGAGGGGCATGGATAGGGTGAACAGCCAAGATTTTTCTCCCAGGGTAGGGGAATCCAAGACAAGAGGGCACTAGAGTAAAAAGATTAAAAAGGGACCTGAAGATAAACTTTTTCACGCAGGGGGTGGTGTGTGAATGGAACGAGCTGCCAGAGGAAGTGGTGAAGCCGGGTACAATTACAACATTTAAAAGGCATCTGGATGGGTACATGAATAGGGAGAATTTAGAGGGATATGACCAAATGCTGGCAAATAGGACTAGATCAGTGTAGAATATCTGGTTGGCATGGACAAGTTGGAACAAGGGGTCTATTTCTGTGCTGTATAACTCAATGACTCTAAAACTTTCATTCAAACAGTCTGTGTGAAGTTCTTGTGTTGAAGAGGGAAAGGGTGTATAACTGTACCATGATTAACCTTGACTTGTCTGCACTAACCTTTTCTAACTCAGGTGCGTTACACAGTGAGATAGACAAAGGGGGCCGAATCAGGGGAAGATGCAACACAACTTTATCGAACATTTTATCAAGGAAAAACAATATTTATCAGACTCTACTATTGTACTTTAATTAAACTCAATCAAACTCTACTAATCTCTTCACAGGATTCTTTAGTAAACAGCCTTAAATATCTAAGTAGGAGATAGCAAGAACTGCAGATGCTGGAGTCAGATGTGGGGGTGGAGGAACACAGCAGGTCCAGGCAGCATCAGAGAAGCAGGAAAATTGACATTTCGGGAAGGGTCACAACCTGAAACCTCAACTTTCTTGCCTCTCTAATGCTGCCTGACCTGCTGTGTTCCTCCACTTGCACACTGTGTTGTCTCTAAATCTCTAAGTAAACATTTTCTCATCTACAAAAGCTATCTATCTCTGACATCTGCTTCTGAGGATATACCCTATCCGTAGGTCTCTAGCACTGTATTTGAATTATTTGTCTGAAAGGACTGGTAATACCTGTTCTGTAAGTCTGGAAAAGGCTGTTGCTCAGTCTTTGAGGGTTGGCTGATGTTTCAGGATCTGCAGTTGTCGATTTGGGCTTCCCGTCTCACCGAGGGCTGGTTGTGGTCTTTGGGTCACCAGGCCGAGGCGGTTTCTTTGGGTCAAACTGATGATGTTCACCAAGCTGTACAGCTCGGCTGTCAGTTGAAGGTTTTCCCTGGAGATGCTGTTGAAGAAGGTGCAAAAACAGAGAGA